CTGGCTCTGGCCCTGGCCCCAGCTCCAGCCCCAGCTCCGGCCCCAGCTCAGTGTCCCAGGTAAGGAGGTCCCAGTCTGAGATCTGCATTCATTCCCTTCCTCTCACTTTTTGGGGACCTGAATATAATTTCACAGATCTGAGCACTCTAAAAGATTTACGACTCTCTTTGTTAACTGTAGGTAGCCTGGAAATAAATTAAAGCCTAGGTGAAATAACTAAATTGTTAACAAGAGACAAAATCTCGGTTCTCCAAGTGGGGGCTTTCAGGAAACAATGTAAGCTTTAAAGAGATTCTCAAACCTGGCTGCACTTTAGAATCAGTGTAGGGTGGGGGGTTTCTAGAGCTGCCTGGGTTCCATCAGGAGGAGAACTGTTAGGGAAGGGGCCCTGCCAGTAGAAGCTCTGGAAAAGTTTGTCCAGTTGATTGCTGCCCAGCAGGGACCCTGCGGACTGTGAAGAATATCCCTTGGGGGATGAGAGCCATGATGCTCCAGTGGAGCCCTGACAGTTTCTCTAAGACTAGTTTGTAAAGCAGATGGGTGACAGAAGTAGGGGGAGGAGTCATTGGTCTTGAGGAAAGTGCTGTTACACATGGACTTTCCTCGAGGAGTGTTAACTCTTTCTCAGTCTTCCTTATAGGGAATCTTTAGAGCCATTTCCAGCTTGAAACAACAGCAGTAGCAACAAACAAACAAACCCAAAGGATACACTAGAAGGAGATTGGTCCAGCTAAACAACCTCCCTAGAATGTGTAGAGATCCCAGCTCCTTGGGGCTTTCCAAGCTAAGGCATGACTTGGGGTTGGGGAGGCCTAACTCCTTCAAAACCCGTCCCTCTGCGCTTCTATGATCTCTACTCAGGTCAGGTTGCTGCTTACGTGATCATGTCTGAATGGAAGAATCAGTGGGAAAAGGGGAGGAAAAGGCTTTTGTTTTTTGTTTTCCATTTCCCATCAGGACTATGTAGGTGATGAAAATTTGCTGATTAACACATGTGTTGGATGGGGCCCAGAGAGAAACGGCAGCAACAATGTTCATTGAGTGCCTAATAAATGCCAGGACTAGGTCAAGTACATAATATATATTATGTTACTTAATCCTAAGAGGTAGGTAAAATTACTGGTCCCATTTTAGAGATGTGAAAACGGAGGCTTAGAGAGGTGAAGTCATTGGCTTAAAGTCACTAAGCTAGCAAGTTACACAGCTCAAACTTAGTCTGCCCATGCTCTTCACCATCTCTCTCTATGCAACTTTCTATATTTTCAGGGGATATAGATGGAAACTGCTTATTTTTAAGAGGAGAATGGTTTGGTAATCATGAGCATGCACAAAGATTCTTTGTAGCCAGAAATCAGATGCATCATTTTGTTCTGTGATACTAAGTGATTTCTGGGGACAATTAGAACTAGTTAGCATTAAACAAAAAAAATCAGGTTAACAATAATAATTTACTTTGAAGCTTCATCACCAATCAGAAGCCAGTATTTGGTTATGGTTATCAGCTAAAATAATGGAAAAGAAAATATAGGTCAAGAAATGGAGAAATTCAAAATGCCTGTTGTCTGGTAAGTAGTTAAATTGCACTTAAAGCTTTTAATTTCCTTTCTGGTTTACTTATCTCCCTCTGGTGAGTCAATATCACAACTCCAACATTTTTACGGCAGACTTAAGTATCACTTCCATTATAAACCCCATTCTAGGGCTGGCTGTCAGCTTGATGAGCTCTTTGGAAAGTGGTGGAAAACTCCTTTATAACTATTGTTGAGCAAGTTCCAAATGTATCATTTTCTATATTTTGAAAATGTTGAGTACCATTATTTTATGCCTTGAATCTTTACAGGCACTTAGACCTGGCTACTCATTAGAGCCAACTGCAACCTTAAATCACAAATGTGAGTCGCACCTTCTGCTGTAGTGCTCAGAGAACTCCACCTGCCTCAGATGTCACCCCCCAAAGAAGAGGCCGCTTTCAGGGTCCTCATTTCATAGACAAGAAAAGGCTCCATGCTTCACTCACCACAGCAACCGGCAGAGTCGGAAGCACAACAAGTCACGTGCTTTTGTCATCAGGCTAAGGGGCTTGTTGAAAAAAAAGACAGTAAGGCTTTCATACTGACCATGGGCCTGATTCACTGGGCAGGAATCGGGTTTTATTTGTCTCCCTAAGGCCAGAGCCTGGCAAATTGTAGACACCAGTAAATGTTAATTGAACTCATGCTGAGTGAGAACCTATCAGTGTAAGGTGTCTTGTGGGGTACATGGGGTCCTATTTGCTCTCCACAAGCCCAAGGGGACAAGCACTTGTCTATGTCTCCCATTCCCAGGTACATTTGTATAGAGTTTAGGCGTTCACTGCAGGGAAAGATCCATCACCATTAGCTTCATTGCCTTTGAGTGGGAGGAGCAGAAACGTCTCTAATGGGAGACACTGATCAAACTTATGGACCATTTCGATGTCAGCTGAGCACACTGGGCTGATGATAAGCAGGATGGAAGCTGGGGAGTCCACAGTGCTGGGGCAGAGATGTTGAATGAAGACAGTGGAAGGCTGTCAGCAGGGCTCATAATTATTTGCCTGCCTTTCAGGTGAACTTCAGGACTGTAAGTTATTAGCTAGTGGTGTCTAGTTGATTGCCTAGAAACTGATGATCTCCATTTTTTCTGAGTTGACAGAGCTTTTCAGAGAACTCTAAGAATGGTTCAACCCTGTCTTGTGCAACTAATTAACCTTCCTCTGTCAGAATGAAATGCAAGAATTTGGGGGGTAGACAGTTATTATAATAAGCTATTTCTTCAAAAGTCCATGATGTACTGGTCCTCTTGTAAAAGCCTTGGTTTTTTTGAGCTTCAGCTGTAGTCTTTCTGTCTTCAGGGGGAGTGATAAAGCTGGTTCCAAGGGAAGCTGGTCTCTCTGACAGGCTCCCTGTAGAGCTTGTCTAGTCTTTATACATCCCCGGCAAAGACCCTTTCCTTCCCCCCATCCCAGCCCCTGTGTTCAGCATAAACCTGCTTGTCCCTCCTCCTTACTCCCCAATTCCTGCAGGTGTGGGATGTGATTGGCAAAGAAAATTGAGGCCAATGTCAAAAATTTACCTGGCATAGAGAGTTTGGGGTACAAATATATATATATGCAGATGGTCCCCTACTTAAAAATGGGTCGACTTAACGATTTTTCGACTTTATGATGGTGCAAAAGTGATACACATTCAGTAGAAACCAAACTTCGAATTTTGATTTTTGATGTTTCCCCAGGCTATCTATATGTGTTACAATACTCTCGTGTGATGCTGGGCATCAGCAGCGAGCCGCAGCTTCCATTCAGCCATGTGATCACGAGGGTAAACAACTCATACACTTAACAACCATTCTGTCCCCATCCAACCATTCTGTTTTTCACTTGAAGTACAGTATTCAATAAGTTACATGAGATATTCAACACTTTATTATAAAATACACTTTGTGTTAGATGATTTTGCCTAACTGTAGGCTAACGTAAGTGTTCTGAGCACATTTAAGGTAGGCTGGGCTAAGCTATGATGTTCGGTAGGTTAGGTGTATTAAATGCACTTTCGACCTATGATATTTTATTTTTCACTTACGATGGGTTTATTGGGATGTAACCCCATTGTAAGTCAAGGAAGATCTGTATATATATATATTTTTTTTTCATTCTGCTCTTCTTAAAGAAGATTAGGTTAAATTAACTAAACTCAATTAGTTGTTAAATTAACAACTTAGTTGCAAAAGCCTGAATTAATTTGTCCAAAGTTCGCTGACAGAATAATCTTGATTATAGAAGCATCTAGGTCCAGCTTGTTTGGGAATCATGGGGTTGGTAGATATTAAACGCTCAGAGCACACAACCTTAGCTGTAGTCACCTTACCTCTTAAACTTTGAGAGCTGTAGCCTGCATCTCTTCAAACTCTGCAAGCCACTGACCTCCCCTTTGTAGTTTCAGAAAGAGACCCTTCAGGCTGATATTCCACAGGTGAGCTTTGGGCTGGCTGTCAGATGAGATCATTGAAGGGCACAGCCAGTCGGCTGCCAAGAGTTACTCTGTAAGGCAATAGTAGTAATAAAAAAAAAATGTTAATTGTGTTGGATCCCCTTGGGGAAGATCAAAGGGGACAAAAGAAAAACAGGATCTTTCAAACCTGTCGTTTTAAAACATGCAGCGGCACCAAAGTGTGAGCCTGAATATCTTCAAGAAAAATCAAATATTTTAAAATGACATTTCTGCAAGTGGTAAGCTGGAAAACTTAAAAGAAATTTGTACAAAACCTTCAAACTCATACACCGTTCAGTTTTTAACAAATGGCTGGTTTGTTTCCATTTTGAGGAATGTTAATTATATAATTTCCCAGGTGAAAAGAAGATGCGAATTGCACTGTATAGTTTCACTGTAACCCATATCTTGATGTTCTCTTCATTCTCTTGGAAGGCATTGGCTTGGGGTTTGGATACAGATGAGGAAAAGAAACCGAGAGAGTAGGAGGAAAAGGAAAGTGACTGATCACCTACCATGTACCAGGGACTTGGTTTACATTACTCAATTAATCTTGAGCACAACCCTGTGAAGTCAGTTATCTCCATTTGACACATGAGGAAACTGAGACTTAATGAGGGTTCACGTCCCTTAAGTGGTAGAATTAGAATTTAAACTTAGGACTCTCATCACTTCTTTATTTCCCTTTCCTGGCATCGGTACAGTAATAATTTCCTTTAAGACTCATTTAGAAAGGAGAATCTTCCTTTAGGGAAAGGTGATTGACATAGTGGTTCAGCCCAACAGGTGGAGACGTGGATGAACACTGTGCGTAATTAACCACTTGTGAAACATGGCAGTTTTAGCTTGTTTCTATGATTTTATTCATTTATGTATTGGACTCCACTTGCTTGCCTCTAAGCACTCTTTTGACAAGAGAATTTCTGTCATTCCAGTAGCCAAAAAGCTCATTTCTCAGCTTATTACTGTTGTTGAACTTATTTTTGTTTGCAGTCGTTTTCCAATTTCACTGGCTCCAAGGATGACAGCGGGACCTGCCAGTGCTCCGTTATCCTGCCGGACACCACCTTTCCTGTAGAGAGAGTGGAACGCTTGGAATACACAGCTAACATTCTCTCCGGGAAGTTCAAGACAGAGCTTTCTAAAGTAAGTTTTTTTTTCTCTTCCAACAATATCTTAATAAGAACAAATAAACAAAACAAAACACTTTTTATTCAGGACTTGATGAGCAGCCATTCTTCACTGGATCAAAGACAGCACACTTGCGTCCTGTGGAGGCGTTAACATTTACTATAGTACACCTACGGAGTTCTTTAGAGCAGGAAAAATGAGAGCACAGGAGGAAAATGGGATTGAGATTATTCACGCCATGGTAAACTCACTTCAACATTGTGGTACTCTTGCAGTTGGAAGGAAGCCGGAGATCTCACTGCAAACCCCAACTCTGCAGTTTTTATTTTGTTTTGTTGTTTCTTCTTCCTGCTGGTCTTCCCTCCAGCTCTGCTTTCTTTTCTTTCCTCTCTTCTTTCCTCTTTCTTTCTATTCTATCTTCCTTCTCTTTCACTTTTCCTTCCTATTCCCATTTCATTTCTTCTTCCTTTTGTTTTTATTTCTCCCCTTGTCTCAACCTTTGCTTTGTCAATCCCTCCTAATCTTTCTTTCCCTTTCCTTCTTAATTCTTTTGTTTTTTTGTTTTTTACTCTTTTTGGTCTGCTCTTACTTTTGGAAGGTCACTTCACCTTCTCTTCCTCTTCCGTCTCCTCCTCCACTCCCCCGAAACTTCTGCCTCTTATCCACCTTCCTTCCTCCCTCTTTTCCTGTTTCTTCCTCTTGTTCTGTCGTTCCAATTTACTTTCTTCCTTTCTCCCTCTCCCTCTCTCTCTTTCTTGATATTATCTTCTGTTGTCTCAGCAGAAACATTACGTTAGATGTGTCTAACATTAGACCAAAACTGAAGGCTTCCCTGGGAATTTGAATCAAGACTAACAAGTCCCTCAGCCTTGGTAACAATCCTGACTCACATCCCCTGATTACCACTTTTCTCTGGCCAGAGGAAGTTATCCCACAGGGTTTGCTTTTCTCTGAGCTGGCTGGAGCAGTGTGAGTTGGCATTCCAGTTTTGAGCCCTTCTATCTTTTTAGCCAAGGTAAATATCAGTTAGAAGAACTCCCATTTTCTGCATCGGTGAAGTCCAAGCTAGGCTGTAATCACATTATGCATTATTTAATACACTCCATTAATTTACAAGGAGCTCTGTCTTTCCTGCAAGATTCAAAATAAGTTTTCCTGAGAGAAATTTAAGCTTAGCTACCTCAACATCCAGCATAGGTATCCTTTAAGACAAAAATTATGGTGAGACTGAGACCCTGCTTTCAACGTGAATTGGTACATAAATATTCTAAGCTAAATGAGTGTCCAGGAAGATGTGTTTGACTATTCCAGGAAGCTAGCTTCTTAAGAAATAAAATATCCTTGAATTAATCAGCAGAAAAGGCACAGCACTAAATTATAAATTCCAATCATTAATATTCATAGCCTTATTCCAGCATAATGAAGTACAGATAAGAAGTTATGCATAAAAACATAACAAGCAGAGGAAAATCCTAGGTAAAGATCTTTTGAGTTAGAGTCATTTGCTTTGAAATAGTGGAAGCTTCTGATTCGCATGTCTTCTTTGCTGGCAGGAGTGTGAAGGGCAGTTTGAAACCCCATGCTGCTCCAGGGAAAGTATGTAGCTTGCCAGGTTTGTGAGTATGGGACATTTTATTCCAATCCCGTATCGGGGGCAGGTGGCATCTGCCTTGCTAATAATTGGCAGGGAAGACGGGTGGAGTAGGTTGGAAAACTTTTAGTTCTGAAAGTGTCAGTAGCTGGTCCTAAAAGATTTGTGATTGAGGTCTAAGAAAGAAATTGACCTGCCAGCTGAGATTTGCTTAATAGATTTGATGTGAGAGGTGATAATAACAATGATAATGATAATAGTAACAGCTTTCCTTTGCACTTTTCTTAATGCTTTCAGTTCTATTTTATTCTCAAGCAACCCTTCAAGACAGATAGGCCCGGTGTTCTCCCTCCCATTTTAGGCATGGAAAAACTGAGGTTCATAAAGGAGAAGGGACATAAATGGAGAGATCATCCCTCTCTTGACTGGTTAAGCCAGGTTGGGAATTTGGGTCTTAGGAATTATCCCAGTTCTCTTTTCTCTCAGCCATGCTATCATCATCCTCCAGTGCAGACCCAAGAAGAGACGCAGTAGGTCAGTAGTGTCTTCTAATCCAGTTATCTCTTCAGCTGAGGGCTTTTGAATTTCCAGGTGAATGATTGTAGCTATCCCTAGGTTGCCTTGGAAATCACTGTTTATCTAGAGGCCTGGGGGAATGCCTGTTTGCGCAGGCCAGTAGAAAAGGGTTTTGACTGCCTTACGTTGATTCATTATCTGTCAGTACACAGAGCAGACAGGGAGCTGCCTCTGCATAAGATGCTGAAAGCATTTTATCCTTTTCTGTTGTTTATGACATGTCCTCTCGTGACTATACTTAGGAAGGGGGCGGCATAAAAGGCAGCTCAGGATTTTCTTTATTGAGGATTATGGTCTTTGGGGCAAGTTATTTAATATAACACATTTGCTAATAGATCCTCATGCATTAGAAAGTTGAGGCAGCCCAGACAAGTAGCCAACCCATAAACAAACAACATTGATTAAGCAATGTTTTGTGCAGTGAAATATAATAAATTAAAAGGTCAGATTGAAAAAACCTGAAATCACTGTTTCTCTAATAATGACTGTAATTTATAGGACAACCATTATGCTAGGCATTTTATATATGTTATCTCAGGTCTTTACTATAATATTGTAAGCTTGATATCATTGATCCCAGTTTATAGGAGGAAACCAAAGCTTAAAGAAATTAAGTTATTTGCCCCTTAAGTACTGAAGTCAAATTGAACTTAGATGGGTCTAGCTCCAAAGTGCTTCATATGTCTTGGTGGTCAATTCAAGCTCAACTAATATTGTAACATTTATTTTTAAAGATATATTAAAATAACAGCGTGTTGCAAAATACAGTTACTTATTTCAAATAATCTGGCCATAACTCTGATCACAGGTTTTGAGGAACTGGCAGAAACACGAGCCAGACTAACTTTTTAGCTTGATAGCTAGCTGTACTACATCCTTATCTATTACAAGACACATTTACTGCATGGAACAACAACAAACACCCAGAACAACCCCCAGGCAAAATTTGATTCTTCGAACCCATCAATGACATAATATGTGCATAACAAAAGAATGGAAGCTCTGAACGTTAGGCTGGTGATTTGAATGTAAGCATGGATGAATCTTCTGAAGCTCAAACTTGAAGTGATGAGGAGCTTCACAGCAAAGGTGTTGACACAGGGATGTGCCCCCTTAGGGCTAGACTCATATTCTTGCTACACATCCCCAGGGAGGTTGGGCTGCCTCTGCTGAGACTGCACCTTCCAGGGAGATCTGGGATGTTCACAGAATTGTCCATGCTGTCTCAATGCTGGAGATCCATAGAAGGGTTTATACTAACAATCTACTTAAATTAGTAAATTTCACACTGTGAAGTCTTTCTGGATCATCCTCAAATTCTCTCCTGCCTTCTATAACTCCATGCATCTTCCAAGTTTTCCTGAACATCACTGAGCTTTCCTTTAAATGTCAGCTGAAAGAACCTCACTTTTTTCCTAAACAGATCTTTAGAGACCCTTCATTTTTTGACTAAACTACGGCAGGCACAGCACACACTCTCCTAGGTAGCAGACTCCAGGTTATGACTTGGTTGTCAGTGAGAATCTGGTAGAGCCACATTTTATTTAGCGGAGAAGACAATTGAATCACTCATTTTTGTAGAACAGCAGCTGCGATATGCCACCAAAATGTTCTAGGAAAGCCGAAGGTGTTTCATTTGTTCCAAGAGCTGGAGAGGCCAAACGCCAGCAAGAATATTCATTTCACGAACTTCCATTTCTGCAACAGATTGGTAATTTATTATTCTTTTTTTTGTCGCAGGCAAGGTTATATACCTGGTTTTTGTAGAAATTGAAGGCTGGTTACCTTATCTGTGTTTGAACTTTTGACGGAGACTTGTTAGGTTTTATATACATATATCTACGTATATATAGATAGATAGATATTTTAACCTCCTTACCACCAAAATGTCAACAGCCTTATGAGCCTCCAAGTGATGGGACATCTGATGGCAGTGAGTATCAGTTGCCTGAGGAGATACACTAGAAGTGCCAAGGGCTGCATTTTCAACTTTCATTAAAATCCTCTTTGCCTGAAGCCCTAGCCCTTTACGTCTGTGGCTTATGTGTCTACGTTAATTTGCACAGTGGGGTTAAATGGAAGGGCTAAAATGACAAAAGTTAGGGCTGCCTTTCGTGTTAGAAGGATCAGAGGTCAACATCTGGCTCTGAATTCATCTAGGCACTGTGGATCAGCTACTTGACATTAGCACAGTTTGGGGAAAAGTATCACTTATGTTCAAATTTTTAAAAAGAATGTAAAACCAGCAACTTTTAATGAGCAGGTCCTTTAAAAAGCCATGGCATTTCTTTTAGAGACCAGATACAGAAAGAACCACCAACTGTGTTTGCTGAAATATCCATTTGGAGGTTCCAATTATACACTAAACCATCAAGGGAATTTTTGGAAATATTTTAGCTTAATGATCAGACTTTCAAATATATGCAACAAATGTGCAATTTAAAGGTCTTACTGCAATAAGCGTTCTTGGAATAAATGTGGGTGCACTCAATGAAATGTGCACTTTATAGTTCCACATACACTCACATATTGTATAGCAAGTTGGGTCTTTACGCCACTTTGTAAAATGCAGAAGGGCTCAAAACTCAATGCATATGGTGATCAAAGAAGGAATTCTGCTTAGTGCATTTCTCCCTCTTCTAGAAAATACTTAGATTCAGCGCTGTGGTTCTAAACAGAGGGAGGATGGTGGTGGTGGTGACTTTGCCTGCGTGAGCATTTAACAATGTCTGGGGCACTTTTGGTTATCACAGCTAGGGGTTAGGTGGATGCTGTTGGCACCTAGAGGCAAGAGTGGCTGTTAAACATCCTACAATACATAATATATCCCCCCACAAGAAAGAATGATGTAGCTCAGATTGTCAATAGTGCTGAAGTTGGGAAACCCTGATCATGTGCATTGAGGGGAGGAAGGAGGGCAAGAGACTCTGATTCGAACCACTTTAGTTTGGAGAGCTAATATCTTCAAACATTAAAATGGAGATTAAAATGTACTTGCGGATGATGATTCTGAAGCAAAATTATTTTGTTTAGGCAAGTGAAAAATACACCCCTCAAATGTAATAAATTCTTTATAGTTTGTATTTGGATAGATTAAAAAAATCTAGTTAAATATATTTTTGATCCATTTCTTTACCAAAAAAAAATATATATATATATTGACAGCAATCAAATAGTCTCTGAGGGCTTGGTAGTGGAGGAAGACTGTATGATACTACTCTGGAAATAGACTTAAGCATTTTGATTCCCCTTCAGGTGAAGGAGTATGTCCATTTAATCAGTGTGTATGAAGAGAAACTCATAAACCTAACTGTCCGAGTAGAGATCATGGAAAAGGATACCATTTCTTACACTGAACTGGACTTCGAGCTGATCAAGATAGAAGTGAAGGAGATGCAGAAACTGATCATACGGTTGAAGGAGAGTTTTGTTGGAAGCTCAGAAATTGTTAACCAGCTGGAAGTGGAGGTAAGGAATGAACTTTCTTCTCAGTGTATTAATAATAAATCCTCTTCATTGATCAAGTGCTAGGCCCGGGTTATGAATCTCTCTCTTCTGACTTCTGATTCTGTACTGTCTCATGACCATGTGGTATGTCCCATGTTCTGCTCTAGGTGGATGCCTGTCTTTGAATAGTAAGTTAAACACATTGGGAACATGTTGATTGAAGAGCAGGTATTGTCTAATGGTCAGAGTCCTGCCCCTGAACCAAATGGCCTTTCACTGTCTCTAGAAAGGAGGTGATATAAATCTGAACAACTGCATGGCCAAGCTAGATCAAGTATCTTCTCTGTTCTGGATTTATCCTCGTGAGACTAGAAAGCCACAATTTACCTGATCTTGGACTTGCTAGGTCTGTTTTTCCTTTTGAGTGATCACGTAAACCTTAATCTCTTTTGGAACTCTTCTTCACATTTTGGTAACCCTCTTTAAAGAAGTTTCTCATGAGTATGTTTTAGTGAAGACTTTTAATCTCTGTGGATAAATACCATCACATTAATGTTATGGTTAGATAATTTTTATCCATGAGAATTTTCTAGCACAGTCATGACATCAACTATAATTGAGAATTCTAGTTACACATTTTAGAATTCAACTTTTCTTTGGTGCTCACCATTCATTAGAAACTTAATTATAACACATGAGTAAACACGAGTTTATAGGAAAAGGTTATGATGAATGACCTTTAATGGACATTTGTGGATGTTTAGACTGAGCCTGTGCTCTATTATCAAAGCTGTTAAAATCTTTGCCATTTTCTTCTTGTCACACACATCTGCCTGTGATCTGACAGGCATTCACGCTAAACGGTAAAATGTATTCTTCCAAATGAAACCATTCAGAAGAATCTCAGGTGTATTCTCCAGCAATGTTTCACTAAGTGACAAACTCAGCCCTCGCATGTTTATGAAAGAAATTGCATGATAACATAAAGTCACTCTGAATTTTTATTTCCTTAGATAAGGAATTTGACTCTTGTGGTAGAGAAACTGGAGACGCTAGACAAAAACAATGTCCTTGCCATTCGCCGAGAAATCGTGGCTCTGAAGTCCAGGCTAAAAGAATGTGAAGCCTCTAAAGAAAATGTTCCTGCCACCGTCCCTCCTCCTGCTCCTGGTAAGCATGCCATATTTTTACTACATGTGCCAGGCCTTGTGAGGAGCCGAGAGCGGGGTGGGGAAGGAATTCAGGATTGCAATTGCGAAGGAAGGATGGGATTCTTGCAGTTCTCAGTTTACTCTTTCATGCTTTTAAATCTCCTCTCCTAGTAGCTCTCCATGCTATCACATTCGGGGGCTCACAGAGGAAAAGCACAGTGAGTTGATTTAAAACAGAATCCATATGTTACACGTATTCCTTTTGCATTTACTATCAGGAAAAATATCTCTCTGGTGATGGAGTTGCTATGAGGGGGCCAGGTGAAAGCTTCTGGAATCTGGGTAACATCTGTGCTCTCCTCTGGGTTTATATGATGAGCTGGGGTTATGCCTTGAATCCTGCTTCTCGCCTTCTCTCCTTCCACCTCATCATTTTTCCTTTGTGCTTTCCTTAAATGCCTGTTGGGCACCTGCTGTAGAGTGTATCCTAGGGTTCAGTGAGGATCAAAGGCATGGCCCCATCTGTCTAGTACTTGTGGGTGTACCTTGCTGTCCCTCTTGGACTGTGAGTACCTGGAGGGCAGGGACGGCCTCTCCCTCTCTAATGAATCATCCTGGGGGTCAAGTATAACATAGAGGTGGGTGCCCCATAAATACCCCTGTGAATGGAGGCAGCGGAGTGTGGGGGTCAGGAGCATGGCTTTGGGACCCCAAAGACCTGAGCTTCCCAGCTATGTGGCCACGTCAAAAAGATCCTTAATCTTCTCACTCATAAAATGGGATAATGGTAGCACCTACCTTGCAGGGTGGCTGTGAGGATTAATGAAACAAGGCGTGGGAAGCTCAGAGCTCTATGATGGGCACATATGCCTTGGCAATTGTTATTATAATTGAAGTGAAAACCTTGATGCAAACCAAGGCAGTGTCAGGTCCTTGTGTGCTTCAGCACATCCCTCCAGGTGAACTAAAGCCAGCCTCTCAGCTGCAGCATTCAGCCCTGTGCTTTAGAGATGCTGGTGTCACAGGGAAGCTCTCTCTACAGGTTGTGAGCATCTCAGCCTGAATAGGAAAGAAATCTTTTCATCAAATCATACAACTCTTGTGATTTTCCATTAATTCCTACTGCTCGCAATCTGTTTCCTTTTAGGCCATGCCTTTCTGGATCCTTCTCAGTGTAGCCGGTTTCTAGATACTGCCATAGTTATAAGCCTCTTGGTGTTGTTCAGGGGACTCTTCCTTCCCTCTGCAGTTGAGAATCTGACATAGTGTGACAAACAGAGATGGTTTAGGACAAAGGCTATGCTCTGTCCTCTGTAACAAACTAAGGCTAAATTTGGTCTGGGACCAGCTGTGTCAACCTGCATTGGAAATGAGGGCTCATTTTGCTGGGCTCCTTGATGGCAAGATTTGAAGCAATCACAACCACTGATAATACCAGAGCAAGTTTTTTTTTTCTTTTTCTTTTTCTTTTCCTTTTTTTTTTTTTTTTTCTTTTTATCTCAGTAAATCTTCATGGTATAGATTTTTCCAGCACAAGTTTCTATGTATCCCTTAGAATAAGGATGTTTTACAGCAGGAAGGAACATTCAAGACCGTCTAGCTGAGGCCCACCATGTCTCAGAGGAGGGCACTTAGGTGTTGAAGATGCTGCTTTTCCTGAGCCCACACAGGTAGTTAGTGACAGAGCTGAGGAGGAAGTGCAAGGCCTCTCGCTCCCTGGTCATGTCAGGACCCAAAGTGTCAGGTGTCAGTAACTCACAGACAGCGGTGGGGGAGAAAGTACACTGTACTTTCTTACTTACACTAAGACTTCTGTGAGCCATCCCAGCCCAGCTGCGTTGTTTAAGCAAATTAGACCCAGATTTTCTCTCACTTTCCCACAACGTTGGCTGTTCTTGGATCCCTGCCAAGCCACTTGGCCGTCCTCCAGCTTTGTTTACATTATATTTATGATGTTTATATTAAACTTTTTGTCATGTTTTTAAATCAATTTCTTTCACTTGCTCTCTTTCCGTGTAGATTGGTTGATAATGCAGAATTGGAAAATCCCTAGGCACCACAAAGTTGTGAACCTGTGGAGACTTTAAAGTTACTCGCTATTATGAGACTTTAAAATCTGGCCTGGGGGCTGGCCCAGTGGCGTAGTGGTTAAGTTTGCATGCTCCACTTCAGTGACCTGAAGTTCACAGGTTCAGATCCCAGGCATGGACCTATGTACCGCTTATCTAGCCATGCTGTGGCAGGCGTCCCACATAAAATAGAGGAAGATGGGCACAGATGTTAGCTCAAGGCCAATCTTCCTCAGCAAAAAGAGGATTGGCAACAGATGTTAGCTCAGGACTAAGCTTCCTCACCAAAAAAAAAAAAAATCTGGCCTGTCTGCTTTTTCCTGTTCTGTTCCAAAGTTGCACAGAACAAAAAAGCCTGTATGTAAGTCTCAGCTATCAAGTAATTCTGTGCTCTCTCAGCAACTCCCTGGCATTCGCAGTTAGCTGGTCAGCTTGATCTTAGAACCAGTACATGTAGTTATAGTTCAATAAAATATGTTTTCTACTTGGTTTATGCTGCAAATGGCATCCTTTTCTGCTTCATTTTATAGAACTTTCTAATCCAAAATAATTGGCCTCCTGCTCATTAATGTTTTGTCCTGAAGACAACTAGCTTTAGTCTCTCCCTGTTTTTCCCCTGAATCTAATTGACTACAGCTAGGCAGAATGTTATGCGAATGCCCAGGAGTGGATCACCATTGTGATTGGAGATGTTGGGCTCCGAGCCGACACAGAGCAGGTGCTCAGCAATGGTTGGGGATTGAGTAGGGTATGAAAGGTATGGGGTGGCCTGCCCAAGCCCCAAGCCTAGGGAAGAGCAGAGTGCTGGGGAGCATATATCCAATAATTCAGAGTCAATTTAGTTTGATCATTGTATTATTACGACCATTTTAATTGACTAATTCTCACATGTCAATTGTATTCTCCTCTTTGCCCAAACAAAGTTTAGTTGCCCAGATGAGAGAGTGCATTGGTATATCCAAGACTGTTTCCTCTGCAAGCATATCATCTTTGGCCTTTAAAAAAATGCTACTAAGCATGAGACTTTATAAAAGCCAAGTTAGGTTATTTTAAAGTCTCACCATATGACTTCCCAGGATATTTTCAGAATACTATGGCAATATCTAATGAATTGCGTGATGAAGAGATTGCCAACCAAGGCTACACTAGTGTAGAGGGTTCCTCACATTCTGCTCTATGGAGTAAATACCAGGCTCTGAAAAATTCAGACATGTATCAGGGTAGAGGGCTACTGTTTTATAAACAAGGATAAGCTGGGTTTGGGAGATTTGATCAGTCTTTCATTCCTTTATTTCACAAACATAATTTGGTGCCACTGTGTGATTGGTCCTGTTCTTGGTACTGGGGTTACCAGGATGGGTGCAGAAACCTCTAAAACCACTAACCAGGAAGGGAGACAGTCATGTAAACCTTCAATTGTAACATGATTGGATTATAGTGCAGATAGTTACTATTTATTGAGTTACATGTACATACCTTCTGTCTATTTTTTCCTAATAGTCTTGCAGAGTAGGTATAATTATTATTTTTTAACATGAAGAAACTGAGGCTCAGAGGGTTAATTAAATTGCTCAAGGAGACACAGCTAGTAAGTATTTGATTTGATTGGAGTCAAGATTTGATTGGAATCTGTCTGGCAATATTTTCACTGTACCAGGCTGCGTTCCATAGATGCTTTAATAGAGAGGTACACCTATGATTCCTGGAGTGATAAGAAAGTTCCAACAACTCATCAACCTGATTAACACCAAATTATCTTTGCTTCCTTGCTTGTGGAGCAGCTGAAAGGGTACTTTTACTCTCAGCTCCATGCTGTGTTCTCTTCTACCAGAAAATGCAAAATGATTCATACATCTTTCACAATTCTTGGATCATGGCTGGGTGATGGGTTGTTGTCCCAGTGATGGGGTAAAGCTGTATGGGAGGGTCAGGAAGGGAATGGAGTATCTTTAAGACCTTGAAATGAAAGAAAGGGCTAGGAAGCGGTGCGAGATAAGGGAGGGTGGGGAGAAGCTCAGGGTAGCTGGGTGGGGAGACGGGTACTCCAGCTGGACTAGGTGAGCAGTTGGGCATAGGGCTGGCTGTCAGTTTCAGCTTTGTTTCCAAGATGGTTTGCTGCCAGGAGTCGGGAAGCCTGCCATAGCCTTTTTACTGGTCTGTCACTGCTGTAGCCACATCCGTAGTATTGGCAACAGTGCTTAGTTCTCTTTTCTATTTCCACTTCGTTTTGACCATAGCCTGCACTCTAAAAATGGCCCAGAGGAAATAAATGATAAAGGGAAGATGAGAAAAAGGACAGGAGAGTGTTTAGGAATGACTGGGAGGTGAGGAAAAGAGATTTACGTTTTGTAGAGTTTTAATATTTATACCAGGTACAATTTTAATTTCCTGGCCAACTTCTGAAATGATGATCCATCGTTATTATTATTGTTAGTGGTAGTAGGTAATAGTAATAATAATTTTTAAGAGAAGATTATTTTGGTTCCTTCATATCTAAGGATTTCCCCATCTAGGACGGACTAGTTTATTATCTTTAACCTCATGGTAATGCTTGAATTAGTTTTATGCATCAGAAGTTTTCCTTAACTATTCTCTTGCTACCGGTTTGGGCTAGTTTCTTTCCAGGAAGGCAAGATTCACTTAAGCAAGCAATTTCTAAGTCTTCTAACCTGCAAGAAAAAAGTGATGTTCTTTCATTTCCTCAGAGTGAATGTAGTTGAATAAATAAGTTCCCGGGAAGATATTAGAACTAGAAAATCCAATTTGTAGCATATGGAAAGTCAACCAGTTTTTGTTGTCATTAAACCGAACACATCGCTAACTTTATTTTAATAATTAATGCATTGTTTCATAAACAAAAGCAAACAAGCATTCATCTGAGAGATCACTTTTAGGAGAAGAAATAATAATTTATAATTTTATTTACTATTTCTTTAGTGGAGAGCAGCCTCTTGGCTGAACACAAGTTACTTTTTTATTTATGAAATGCACATGCATTATTAAAATAAACCCGCAACTAGGTTCTGCTTAATAATACACAAAATTATATGAGGTTAGTACAGAGTGGTTTCATTTATCTACCTGTTGTATGGTTGGCTGGCTTTCCCATCAACTGTGGATTTATGAGAGCATTTAAGGAGCACGTATTTAACTCTGGAACCAAAACCTCCAGCGAATTGGAAAAATAAAAGCAAGATTTCTAGCAATGGTTTCACCTCTGAGCAGTCCTTGACTGAGAAGGAGAGAAGGGGGAGACATTTAGCAAGGAAAGGAATGGGTCTTTCCCTATCTGTCAGAGGCAGAGACTCAGAGAAAGATTTGCTCCTCCTTATCCCTCCACAATGGTAATTCCAGACAATTCTTTGGAGCTCTGTTTTGGGCTCCAGCTTACCTCATGTGCTCTCCAGCAGGATGAGGGAAAATGACCTTAAATGTACTTGAAGTTGAATTTTCTTCGTCATCCAATAAACTATCTCACTTCTTTTGGAAGGGGATTCATTAAGATCCCAGAAAACGTGTGTTCAACTCTTTGGAAAGTTACTATAAAAATAATGGAGGAATTTTATTTTATTTTTTATAGCTCATAAATGGTTTGGGTTGGCAGGCATTTCTGGGGGTGTGCAATGTGAAGGGCCAATTGCCCAGCCTGGGTCATTCACCCAAGTGTTACAGGGAACATAGATTCAGTGGGCCCGTGTGTCTGGTCTCACTTGATTGTACACACTGTGACAGTGATAGTGTCAGAATAGAAAAGATAAAACCTGTCATTCTATGGCACAGTGGAATATGGCTTATGAACAGCAAGACCCACCTTACACCTCTGCTGCAAGGTGATCATCAAGTGACCTATGTGATGGGCTATGCTTTGTGCACAAAGCAGGCAATATTGCCCTAAAATAACATCCATGGCTTCTCAAGGCTGAAATTCCACCATTGTAGGATCATCTTTCTGGATCTTTAAAATACCACTTTAAAAACTTCCTCTTCTGAGATTAGCCTGGGGCAGCATTTGTCCCTGGGGTCCCAGGGAAGGGCAGAAGGGTGAAGGGAAAGGAGACTTGCCCAGGATAATCTTCTCCTTCATCAATTCTCCCTGACCCTGGTGAATAGCACCTTCTGGTTTTATGGAAATAGGGTAGGATTCTGGGATGATCTTGCTTTCTCTATAAGAAACATCAAATAAAATCATATTTGCAAAATGCTTCCTGATAGAAGGATATTTATTAAATTCACCATGTTCCCCTTTCTTGTCTCTGGGCCCTCAAATCTATTTAATATGGCTCTTGGCAGTTTCATTATCCCCATTTTCCTGGTTGAAAGCCCATCCATGGAAATAGAAGGTAGTTCTCTCTAGAGCTGATACTAGGTTTACATTGAGACTGAAACCAAGAGAAGGTTTTGGCTCTTCTCCATCAGAACCACTGTTGTTGTTGAACCTTGACAAGAAAAATATTTATGGATTCCTTTGGTTCTTAGGATAGTAAACTATTTGCATCTTGTCGTTCATTTTCTCTAAGAATGCTGTTTTATTTCTTTGTTTGTATAGGGAGCTGTAGTCATGGTGGTGTGGTGAACATCAGCAGACCGGCCATAGTTCAGCTCAACTGGAGAGGGTTCTCCTACAAGTATGGTGCCTGGGGTCGGGATTACTCTCCTGAAAATCCAGAGAAAGGGCTGTATTGGGTGGCACCTTTGAATACAGATGGGAAACTCTTGGAATATTACAGACTGTACAACACACTAGAAGATTTGCTATTGTACACAAATGCCCGAGAGTATCGGATTGCATATGGCCAAGGCGGTGGTACAGCAGTTTACAAAAACAACATGTATGTCAACTGGTACAACACTGGGAACATTGCCAAAGTTAACCTGACCACCAACAAGGTTGCTGTGACTCAAACTCTCCCGGATGCTGCCTATAATAACCGCTTTTCATATGCTAATGTTAATTGGCAAGACATTGACTTGGCTGTGGATGAAAATGGATTGTGGGTGATTTATGCAACTGAAGCCAGCACTGGTAACATGGTGATTAGTAAACTCAATGAGACCTCACTTGTGGTGCTAAACACTTGGCACACCAAGCAGTATAAACCATCTGTTTCTAATGCCTTCATGGTATGTGGGGTTCTGTACGCTACTCGTACTGTGAACACCAAAACAGAAGAGATTTTCTACTACTATGACACACACACAGGGAAAGAGGGCACACTAGACATTACAATGCATAAGATGCAAGAAAAAGTGCAAAGCATTAACTATCACCCTTTTGACCAGAAACTTTTTGTCTATAATGATGGTTACCTTCTGAATTATGATGTTTTCTTCAAATAGGAATCCCAGCAAGATGTTTAGGTGTTAGGGTGAGAGCTAAATAAAATGTTTATTGAAAAAATGGTCTTCTCCACTTATTTAGATATCTGCAGGGGGATCCAGGAGTATATTTGCTTAGTAGTAATATTTGGGTGCATAGCTCTACCACACTAGAGACTTAGGATATTTGCCCTGATTTGATGAGTTCTCTTGGAAGCCATCTGCCTCCAAGGATGCATTTCCCTTCTGAAATAAGGTCCTTCCAGGGGAGTGAGATTATCAGAGGTCTAGGGGCTTTATGAGTCCAAGGAAGCCATCAGTGAAGTGACATTTGGAAATTAAGGAACTTAAAGAGAACTCTGTATGGCTTCTGGGGATTCTTTGTATGGGAGAGAGGGCTTAATGGCCAGTTCTCCTCCATGTAGCCCTGCTAATTCTTCCATACCTGAAAGAAACCTGGGGCTTAATCAGGCAGGTTAATATCTGAAGCTCCATGAGGGAACAAATCGCCAATTCTGTTTTTCATACTAGCACCTGGAACAATGTTCTGTATGTAGCGGATAAGTAAATTCAGCATGCTCATATTATGTCTGTAAAATGCTCTGAGTTTTCTTGAGAAAGATCCCTTTGGCCATTAGATTGTACACTGAAAATCAGTCCCTGATGAATCTGCAGAGGAGGCACTTGATTTTTCTTTTCTCCCATTGTCGACCTACGTAAGAATCAGTACAACCCTCCTACCTCATAACTTCATTCCAAAGGCAGCTCAGAAGATTAGAACCAGACTCACCAACCAATTCCCCCATCTCCTCCCTACTTCCTACTTAAAAAAAAAAAAAAAAAAAGTAACGTTGTTTTTATGGGACAGATATAAGCTAAACAAAATTAATTTTCTTTTGTCTGATCATGAACTTTTACTTACATGACTGTAAGACCATAAGAAACTCAGATGGCAGTGGTAAAACGACAGCATATTTGGTTATATAATAAAGCCCTTGGAACATATGTGAAACTTGTGTTAAATCATATCAATTGTTTCATGCAATGTTTGTCTTTGTTTAAGCCTGAAACGTGTAAGAAAATGACATTTTAATATTTTTTGAGGAAGAAGTGTAAAAAAACCATTGAAAGCATCTAGTAAATCAGTGCAGTTTGAAAACCTTGCAGGTGCATGTGTCTCTGTGCTTTTGGATGGCTTTATCATCTGGTCTTGGTCTCTTTTCCTTTGCTGTTTATGAGTCCTAGTCCACACGATCGGCTTCTTACAGGCTATACTCTTCCCCTTTTAACAAATGATTAAAATGTGTTTTGAAAAAAATGTTGTCTTTTGTTTTTCTTACTCTTTTATTTTATTATTAAAAAACCTCTTAATAGCGTATTCCACACCTTGCTGAGAGGTACAGAGAATGGCTACCTCCCAAACACCAATGCCCAGGATATCATATTCCTCACAGCAGATAACGTCAATAGCTTTGAAAGGAGTCCAAAGTCAGGGCTGGCTCTTTAGTTTTCACTCCACTTTAAAATCCATTCTTTCTGGAAGGTTTTGTTGTATGAGGTTGTACTCTTTTCTTTTGGGATATGACCTTATGTACTTATTATTTGCATGACTGATCTGATTATTTCCAATGGTAGACTATATTTGTGCGGCTTATGTTCCTTTTCCAATTGAGCTGTTAACATGAGTCAGAAGCCTCCAGATCATCCCCAAACAGGAGATCTTAGACAGAAAGCAAAGGGACTAACTGGTTGTATTAAGGAGAGAAGTACCTTTATCAATGAGAAGGTGTAGCGGGACAGGTGACCTAGAGCTGGAAGGACAGACAGTCTAGGCTCGTGTAGTTAGTCTTACTGAAATGCTCATTTTTAATTCATACCAAGCTTTTTGAGGCAGATGGTAGCTACAATATTTATAATTTTTAGCAAGATTTTTATCTTTCAGAGCTGAGCATAGAGACAGTTATGGCCTTCAAAATGCAGCAAGAAATGAAGATAAAGACAGGTATGTCATGTGAGATATAAGTTAAAAACAGTGATGTTATATTTAATCTGGCTCCAGGCCATTTTCCAGATGAATGTTTCTACCAAATACACATTTACTGATTTCTGAAGATTCAGGAGAGGAGGCAGGAAGCCAAGGTAACCCTGGTAATCAGCTTCTTATTTAACTGCTACAAAAGCATTTGCCAGAAAATTCTCTTCAGAACCTTCTTCGCACTGGATGTGGTGTATTGCCTGCAGGTACTCTCCTCTCTGTGGAGGTTGGACAGCTGAGGGATTCAGGTTGGATGGTTTACTGCAATGCAGTTATGCAATGGAAATTTTAGGTCAAGACTCATCAGCTAGCACCCTTTGCAGGAGAAAAAGGTGTATATATATTTAAATCAATTTTGTTAAGATGTAATTTACATGCGGTAAAATCTGGCCATTTAAAGTGTGAAGTTAAATGAGTTTTGACAAATGTATACAGTTGTGTAGAGTCTACCACAATTAGGATATAAAACATTTCTGTCATTCCCCAAAAGTTCTCTCATTCCATTTTGTAGTCAACTCCTCCCCTCATCTCCTAGCCCCTGGCAACCACTGATCTGTTTTCTATCTCTGTGGAATCATACAACATGTAGCCTTTTGAGTTTGGCTTCTTCAGGTTTCCACTTGAAAAAGAGAACTAGCAGGTTCAAATTACCACAGAGGACAACTGAACATTGCCAGTGGTTCTCAGGGTTCCCTCAATTTTTGTTATTTTTTGGGAGATTGGATAGGGGAGTGTGGAGATCTGTGATGACCCCCTGCATTTGTAAGTGTTCCCCAGTGGCCTGGAATTGCCACAGGAGGGGTCTAGCTCTGGGAATCAATCAAGTCTACCTGGCAGCACCTTCAAAACCTGAAAGTTCTCTTGCCACCAGCCTAATTCAATGTTTGTTCTCCAATCTCTACTCCTGTGTTGCAAGCATCTCTACTAAGGTGAATCCTGATACTATTAAATAATGCATAGTGAGTAAGAGTGCAGAATTTGGAGTCAAGCAAGACTGGATTTGATTCTTGGTTCTGCTGCTTACAAGTGGTGTGGCTTTGGGCAGGTTCCTTAATTTTTCTGAGACTCAATGTCATTTTCTGTATAACGGGACAAAACCACTTACCACAGAGTCTTGTTGGGTGAATTAATGCTATTAAGTAGATAAAGTTTAGTACAGTTTTTGGCACATGCTCTGTCCTCAACAAAGAGTTATTATCCCTTTCTATTATTTTGAATTTTAGGTTCAGAGTGGTCACTGGGTTGATAAGATATAAAGCTAACTGGGATCAGAGTTTCCATCTTCTCCCTATAAGACTTGTTGTTAAGTAGTAACTCCTTAAGCAGGTGCCATTTTGGCATGAAAGAGATCCAAAGGCTGGAATATGCTCTCTTTTTCCTCAACTCCAAGATTAATACTCAGAGCTGATGTTTTCTGTATTCTGACTCCAAAGACTGACTGACATAAGCAGCAGAAACTGAGGCTGCTTCTCCTTTCTTTTGAGCCACTGAAAACCTAAACGAAGGTTGGCTTTTCAAGCCCTATGGGAGAGACCAAAATAGATGCACATATTCTCTTGCTTACTTTGCTGTCATCAACAAGAACATCAGTCTTCTCAGAACAGGCATGGGTATTTATTTTGTAGTCTACTTTTAGTAAAATATGTTTATGTTTTAAGATTTGTTTACATAGCTAGCCTTAAGAGTGTGCTTTTTCCTCTCCTTGATTCGTGAGCCACTGACAGGGAAATGACAAGGGATGGACTGAGAGTGACTGTGTGGCTGCCTTCAGGATGACGTAGGGAGGTTCTGAGCCTTAGCCCTCAGTCATCTCAAACATATGTCACTCCATGAGGGATGATTAGCCTCCTGTGTTCCAGAATGTTCCAGAACAACAGAAGGATGAATTGTGACACATCAGAAAATAAAAGGCAGGCGCAGTTCTAAGGCATGCTCCCAGCCAGTGGGACAGACCAGCTGGCTTGGCTCATCAATGAGAGATGCTATTTGAGTTGTCAGTTCAGTTGCCAGGCCTCACATCTGTAGCTCGGGATGCGCCCACTTGCCTCTGAGATCTCTGTCTGCTCCTGAAACTCATTCAAAGGGAACAGCCCTTGGAATTAAGATCCATTGTGGAGAAAGATGGTCAATCTGTCTGGAGTAGAGGCTTCTTCTTGGTTGCCACCCGTGGACATCTCGGAACTGGGAGTTCCACTGTGAGGATGGTTTCCCAGACCTTAGCCCCTAAGGAATATTAAAGAAAGAGCTGTGGTGTGTTTGGGGGCTTCTACATGGTCTTTTTGGAGCTCAGTGTATGTGGTGGGTTGAGGATGAGGATGGAATATGGGCAGGAGCCAGGGTTTATATGACATCAAAGGAATTTCATTCCTGAGCCTCCACCCAGGAAATTTATACTGCCTCCAAGGTTCTCTTTTTAGGTGGATTCTGCCAGCTCATGTGTTCTTTTTCTTTGTGGCCTATAATGTTTTAACGTCAGTATTACCAGTGACTTACTCTGACTCTCACCTTGTTGGCTGTTATCAGTCAGAGTTCAGTGCAGAAACAGAAGCAACTTCTTTTAACTGGGGTGCTGCTAACTCCCATATTAGATAAACCTCACAATCCCAGTGATTTAGCACAATAGCAGGATTTTTCTCCCTCACTTCAGTGACCACTGCTTTCACCATTTTGTCCTCGGTCGTTGCATCTATAACATCTTCCTCTTCTTCAAAACCATATTTTCTCCTTCACGCACCAGCTGTGGTTTTGTCTGGTGCCACTATGATGGGATACAGCTTCTCCTCCAAGATGACTGTCTTCCAAACAGTGATTCAGGGACCCAGGCTGGTTCTATTCCATCCTGTGGCTCCATCTCCACACAGAGCTTCCAAGGTCATTGTGCTTGTCTGCATCAGACAAGTAGAAGGGAGAAGAGCATGGAGAATCTGAGGTGGCAGTGCAGACAGAGACCACCCCAGGGCCTTCAACAGGCTCTGATTTGCTCCTGAAGAGAATCCTTGTAGGTATGATAGCATGCTGTTTCTTTCCAATGATACCACACAGTTTGTCGGTTTTCTCAGAACCATCCTGGGTGAGCTGCACCACAATGAGTTCCACAGCCCCACTGAAGCCATCCGCTGCATGCTGGAGCCTGGGTGGAAGATTTTCTAGCAGGATCTTGCAAGTCAATGAGTGAAGGCAGAACTGCCCTGGAGAGGAGGTATTCTGGCAACATAAGCTCAGGGAATTAGTTTGGGAAAGAAAGTTTATAACAACAGTGTTCTAGTTTCTGCTGGATAAAACATTTTGAGAGCTTCTCTTCTCCCAGCAGAACAACAAAATACCCTGGTGGCAATAGAATGGCTGTTCTTTTTAAATGTTGTTTTTAATAAAAATCAGATAGTTGCAGTCATTTAACCTCTACACTGCTACTCCCCCTGATCCTGTATTGGGCAGGCTTATGTATTGTCCAGCTTCTCCTCTAGCTTCTCTTCCTTGGATCCAGCATCT